TTTAGCCCGCATCATGGAATTTCTTCCATCCAAAACCAAGCCGGGTGGCTTTATTGAGGCTATGAGAGTCAACTGGTACTACCGTCCACGAGATATCCAGCGTCATTCCCCCGACACTCGGTTTGTTTTTGCTTCAATGCACTCCGATACTTGCCCTCTTTCTTCATTACGGGGCAAGTGTGAAATTCGACACGTGTCAGAGATTGAAGACATTAGCTGTTACAAGAAGACGAGGAACAGTTTCTGGTACGACAAAATGTTCGACCGATATATCCATCGTCTTTACGATGTCATTCCGACTAAAGATATCATTAATGTCCCGAGCAACGTCAAGAAGGTTCTCGACGAACGCTGGAAATTCATTCTTGTCGAGATCGGCAAGGGGAAGGAATTGACGGGTGCCGTCAAGACGTGTAAGCGATGCCGTTTATACGCCGCAAACTCCGAATCGGTCGACTGCGCAGTTTGCAATTCAACATATCACATGCACTGTGTACGACCCGCCTTGACCAAGAAACCCGCTCGAGGATTTGCTTGGGCTTGTGCCGCTTGCAGTCGCGCCCAAGAGCGCAAACTCGAGGCACGCAACACACCATTAACTGGCAGCATTCGAACAGACGGCGAAGATGTGATCATGGAAGAGGAGGAGGAAGAGGACCCCCATAATCACGCGAATGGTATAGCAAACGGTACCTCCGCCAGCACTCCTGCAGCCGAGGAAGATTCCATGCCCCAGCCCGCAACTGTGGAGCAAATCGCACAGGCCAAAATGTGGCCTTACCGATATCTGGGTATTCACTGCCGCGTGGAGGACGCTCTGGACTACGATGATCGAATTTACCCCCGAGCTAGCTCACGTCTAGGAACTCGACACCAGGCATTGGTCCCCGCTTGGCCAGGCCGCGCGGTTGAATACGTGAAGCCACTCGATGCGAAGAAGAAATCAAAGGTTCCCGGTGGCAAAAAGGACGGCAAGCTCTCCAAGGATGCGCAGGCTGCAATGGAGGCTGCAAAGCGCGAGAGGGCAAACCGACCGCCGTGGGTTCAAGATGAGCCAACAGGCTATGTGCATCGTGGTCTGGATGAACCGATCACAATGAACGGAAAGCAGGTGCGCACAGCTGAACTTCAATTCAAAATGCCCGATCCCGGCCAGATTCCCGCCCGCGGTGAAGATGATGCACCAGGATCTCATTTAAGCGTTGAGGATCGAGAAAAGTTTATCGACGACTACATGCGCCAAGCCAAGGAACTGGCCCCTGGTATTGGAGTTGAGAAATATTCCACGAATTTCCTCGACAGAGCGCTTGCACTTCTTTACTCTGAGAGCTTTGATGTTCAGGCTGCTCTTGCTAAGCTGAAGAAAACCAACAAGTACAAGGATCTTAAGGAGCCTCACATTCGACCGGAGGAGCTCAAGCTATTCGAACAGGGCGTCGCCAAGTATGGATCCGAATGGCGCAATATCATGAAGCATGTCAAGACTGTCCATATCTATCAGATCGTCCGTTTCTACTACATGTGGAAGAAAACCCCCAGCGGTCGGAAGATTTGGGGCAGTTATGAAGGCAGACGTGGCAAGAAGGAAGTACGCCGCCACAGTGTAATTTCATCTAAACTCGTTGACGACGTGGCCGATGATCATGATGATTCCGCCTTTGACTCCGAGAAAGCGATTGTCCAGAAGCGTGGATTCCATTGCAAGTTTTGCTCCACCCGCCATTCGCGACAGTGGCGCCGTGCGCCCCTAGTTCCACCAGGAACCGTCATTCCATCTGAGCCCTCCAACAAGAAAGACAAAGGCCCTATGCTCACCGTCGCGCTCTGTCTTCGCTGCGCTCTGCTATGGCGGAAGTACGGGATTCAATATGAGGATGTTGACGAGGTTGCAAAGAGGATTGCAAGCAGCGGTAACAAGTCATGGCGACGCCGCATCGATGAGGAAATGCTCGCGCAACTGATTGTAGCTACCGAAACCCCGTTCATGATCACCCCTGCCACGGCAACTACGGCTACTGCCATGGGAATTCCGCTTGATACAAACCCTCGACTCTTGACGGATGGAAAGGTAGAAGGAAAGGTGGATCCGACGAAAAAGAAGGCCAAGGACACCCCCGCACCGTCAGCCGCGACGTCCGTCGAGCCTATGCCGAAAAAGAAGGCGGTCCCCGAGAAAGTGGTGGAAGCTCCCCCGATTGTTCCCGACCCGCCAAAGGCCAAGACTCTCCCCTGCTCAATCTGCAACCAAGTCGAACCTTCGGGCGAAGAGCATCTTTCATGTCGGGATTGCCGTCTGACAGTCCATCGTAATTGCTACGGTGTACGGGATTCGCGCGCCAGCAACAAATGGCTGTGTGATATGTGCTCCAACGACCGCACTCCGTCGATTTCTACAAACTACACATGTGTTCTTTGCCCAGTTTCATGGACCGAGCATGATCTCATGGAGACGCCCAAGAACAACTCCCGGAAGAAGACTGAGCGGGACAAGGAAAAGGAGCGCATGGAGAAGGAGATGGTTGCTGAGGCCATCAAGCTATATCGCCAGCGACAGGAGGCCGTTGGCAAGCCTGTTGGTCCTCGGGAACCCCTGAAGCGTACTGCAGGCAACAACTGGGCCCACGTGCTTTGTACCCTGTGGACCCCGGAGTTGAAGTACGGCGATGCAGAGGAGCTTGAGCCCGCGGAAGGATTCGGATCTATTCCCAAGGAGCGGTGGCGCGAGACGTGTAAGGTCTGCAAGTCAAGTAAGGGCGCATGTGTACCATGTAGCTTTGCTGGCTGCAATGCTCACTTCCACGTGGGCTGTGCTTTCCAAGCACACTACCGGTTCGGCTTCGACATAACACCCGTCAAGAGCTCACGCCGCGACAGCATGCGATCTATCCGTCTGGGCGAAGATTTTGGAGCAGCAACACCTGCTGTTTACTGTCCAAATCACAATGTGCCGACTGTTCTGCACGAGATCGGTGAGCAGACAAACCAGGACCATCTAAACGCTCTCCAGTTGTTCGCCCAGACCTACAAGCAGGCCGATCTTACCCTTACTGGAACCGTTCGCAAAGCGGCGTACATGCATCATCAACCTGCTGGAGCTCCGCCACATGCTCCCACAAATGCGAACCGCCGGGCTTCGACAAGTACTACGCTAGCCTCTAAGGATGCCGCTAAAGTTCAACCGGTTCTAGACGAGGTGACTGAAGACCCCATGGACATCGATACCGACAACCATGTTGCACCCCGACCGGCAGCTCCTGGCATGGAGACTAACCGCAAATGCGTCCGTTGTGCCACCGGCTTTAGTCCCAGGTGGTGGGCCATTGGGCGACGACCTCCCATGGCCAATGGCTCAGGGCATCCTCATCATGCGCCTCAAGGTGGCTTCGCTCAACACAATGGGGATCCTTGCGAACTAGCATATGAATGTCATAAATGCCACTTGAAGAACCCAGCGCCTCCTCCACCTCCGCCTGTGCCAGAGCCTACGCCTGACCAACGGCCTTCGCCTTACTCTGCTCAACGTCCCATGATACCCACTTCACGAATCCCCGGTCATGCAGGTCATCCAAGCCATGCAGGCCATGCAGGCCATACATTTTTGCCCCACCCGCATCCACACCAACACCCGCCGCATCCTCCTCCCCCTAGTGGTGTGCTTGGGCGACCGATGGCTCCTGCTCACCCACCCAGCGGACACCCTGGACCAGGATACACTGGGCCGTACGAACAACGCCTCACGCCCGACGTCGGTCTTCGCAACGGCATGTCGCCATCTCCTTATCCCCAAGCACAGCCACCTCCGCATCACATGAATAACTACCCGCCACCCCATCCCGCAGGACCACCACCTCAACACTATACCAGCGCTGGGCCTTCCGGACCACCGCCGCCGTATTCCACCCATCAGAGCCCGTATGGTCCTGTGCCTTCCCGCTCGCCGCATCTTTCGCAGCCACCGCCACGATCATATGCAGCGTCCGCATCCCCTCCAATCGTGCAAGCAACAATGATCAACCGGTCACCCCAGAACTCCCTGAGTGCTCTCAATGGCGGCCCACCTCCTCGCATGTACTCCGTCGAGCGTGTGGTAGGAGCTCCCTCCCACTCACCACCGGTGACGCAGGCACGCATTGACCCGCGGGGGCCCACTGCCACCCCTCCCACTCGACCGGAAGATACACCACCTTCCCTGATGGGCGGACCACCAAACAGTCGGCACTCCGGGGTCAACGGCACAGCAGCCGGGAGTGGAGCGAGCGCAAGCCCATCGCTGAAGAACCTTCTCTCATAACGATATCCCTGAGTGCTCATAATCGAGTTGTATGATAGTGACCTATGTCCTTTCCTATTTGCTTTTACTGCTACTGCATATGCATGCCACGGCATTCCATGAACAAAAAGTGTGTCTGCGGTTGGATTTTCTTTCTGATGCTTTCTTCTTTCTTTCCTTTTTATTTCCCTTCCAGCCACGGAGATCCCGAGCCTTTCTAGCCGGTAGATCCACCTGTCGGCCACCATATTTCTCACTATGGGGGGGGTTTTTTTTTCTTATGTCCTTGTTTTTTTCTGGCGTCTTGAATTACGGCACCTGGAAAAAGTCCGTGGAGTCTGCTATGGAGCGGTTGGGGGGCTTGATATGGTCGAAAATCATGGATTGCATGGAGTAGGACTGGCCACTTTATGATTGATATTACCCATTACCCATTATTTCCAGCTAGATGAATTGATTACCATTGCTACGATGTACATTTTCTATTTGATACTACATCCACTCGGTTATCCGGCATGGACATGGATTATAAACCCTCTCTCAACATATGTGGACCACGGAAGCTGGTGATGCTGACAAATGCCGATCAAGCTGCCGCGGGCCCGGGGCGGCACCTAGGCAGATGAGGTCAGCTCCACATAACTGTGATAGCTTCTTGGTATATAAATAAAAGTACCTTCTGCAAATATTTGAATAGAAAACAACCATTGAACACTGTACATATCTCAAGATGAGCGACACCATGCGAGCTATTGGTAAGTGAACACGGGGTTGAAGAACATGGATCCCCCCACCTGATATCATCTACATCATTGGATTGAGGATCACCGATATCAACCTATCTGCCCTCCCTTCACTGCCCTTATCGCCCTCTTTCCTCTATATTCATACGTCAAAACACCCTATACAATGCCAACCCCAAAACTAACAACCTCCCAGGCATCAAAGGCGGCAAAGGCCCCGCAACAAGCCTGTTCATTGACCAGATCGCCAAGCCAACTGCTACAGAGGGCCAAGCTATCATCAAGATCCGGGCCTTTGGCCTGAATCGCATGGACCTACTCCAGCGCGAAGGCCTATACCCCCCCCACCCCAAGCACCCCCAACCATGGGCGTCGAGTTCTCCGGCGTGATCGAGAGCTTCGGACCAGATGGACACGAAGACTTCAAGATCGGCGATGAAGTGCTCGGCCTTGCATACGGTGGCGCGTACGCAGAGTACATCTGCGTCTCGACTCATATGCTAGTTCACAAGCCTAAACAGCTATCCTGGGAAGAGGCAGCCGGAGTTCCAGAGGTGCGCAGATACAATCACCACAAAATAAACCATAATGAACCATCCATAGCTAACCGCTAACCACCACAGACCTGGATCACAGCCTCCCAAGCCCTATTCCTAATCGGCGAATTCCAATCCGGCCAAAGCGTCCTCTGGCACGCCGGCGCCTCCTCGGTCTCAATCTCCGGAATCCAACTCGCGAAAGACGCCGGCGCAAAAGCCATCTACGCAACAGCCGGCTCGCAAGAGAAAATCGATTTCCTGGAAAAGGAACTCGGCGTCACAAAAGCCTTCAATTACAAGACCCAAGACTGGGCGAAGGAGATCCAGGCCGCTACATCTGGCGCGGGCGTCGATCTAACCGTCGACTTCATCGGCGCGACGTATTTCCAGGGTAATCTGGACGTTGCGGCGCGGGACAGCCGTATCGTCGTGTTGGGGCTTATGGGCGGGGGCAAGTTGCCTGATGGTGTTAATATTGCGCCGTTGCTGTTTAAGCGTGTGCGGATTGAGGGGAGTACGCTGCGCAGTAGGGATCTGGAGTATCAGCGGAAATTGAGGGATACGCTTGTTGAGCATGCTTTGCCGCGGTTCTGTGATGGGACTTTTAAGGTTTTTGTTGAGAAGGTGTTTTCGTTTGAGGATATTGAGGAGGCGCATAAGTTGTTGGAGAGTAACACTACTAAGGGGAAGATTATTTGTGTTTTTAAGTAGGGGTTTGATATAGAGATAGTACATATGAATGTACAAAGTATATTTGATACTATAAAAATATATAGATTTGCAGATCTATGTTCGATGTTTTACGTTTGTAATGAGTAGCCAAGATCCTAGAAAACGCCTCTGCAGAATACAGAAATGACCTGCATGCCAAGTACTATAAGTACACGCAACTAGAACTTGTGGAAGTTTGGAAAATACCACCTCATGCAGGTATCCCTGGTGTCGGTGATTGGTCGGGATTCGCTCCCAATCACATCCAGGGCTTCGCAAGCTTGGAACCTTGGGACGAAATTAGAGCCATCGCTGTATACATGTATCTTTACCCTTTTGCATTGAATGTATACCTGATGTAAGATTCACTTCAGGGTAGAAATTGTGGAAAACATACATCGATGTTGTATACTATTATAATTACAGTTGGGAGATTGGTATTATAATGCTATATGCAGCAGATTCTTTCAATACGGCGGTTTGGCCGAGTGGTCTAAGGCGATTGACTTGAACTACTTAAGTACGATATCAATTCTCTTCGGAGGCGCATGTTCGAACCATGCAGCCGTCGTTAAAATTCATTTTTTGCTCTATTTTTGCTTTCAAATTCGCAAAGCTTGTAAGCGTCCCGTATATAGTTAGTACGTATAATAATGTATGAATAAACTGTGTCAAGTTGAAATGCAATGCAGATCCAAGTGGAGAATGGTCAATGTGAGATCACCTCGGATTATTTTGGCTTTCAGATTTTGGCCCCGAATGGGCCCAAACGTCCAATCCACTTTTTACTTTTTTTTTCTCTTTTCTGCAAGTATTTTTTATATGTAATGGTAATTGTAAAATACTTTAATCACTTGAATAAATTCATGTCGCCTACATAAGCCCTTACATATAATACTGTTATATACATGTAGACATACCTAAGTAGTCCCCAGGTGCACTGCACCTAGGTGTTACAGAATCTGCGCTTACTAACCCTTCTAGAAAAAGAGAGGCGTCATTGGGTCCACTGGTTACAGAGGCTCTGCCAGAGAAGAGAGAAGGAAAAAAAAAAAGATATAGTTGATAGTGATGTATTTTACTGCCTAATAAGTTTAGAGAGAAAAAAAAAAGATACATATTCAAGGATGTTTAAACCAATCTATACCCTAGAGAGTAAGAATACATAAGATTACTTGAGGATCATCCCGTCCCGCCCCAAGGCCTTCTGGAAGGAGGAAAGAAGCCCCTTCCCCGTGTTCGCCCCTCCTCAGCTTGGGCTGTTTTTACTCTTTCGACTTCTTCTACACTTCTCTCTCTTCTCTTATTCCTTTTCTTTGTTCTCACCGCTACACGCCAACACACATTCCACGGCAATGTCGAACTGACGGTTCCTCCCTTTTCTTTCACGGCAATTGAAAACCCCTTCATCCTCGACTCTTTCATCCCATCGCTCTTCCGAATCCGACTCCGGGGTGGAAAAAAGTGGGTTGCGCTGTCTAGTGCGACAAGTCTAGGCTTTGGGGGTGTCTCGGAACCTCCAGCCCACAACGCGACTCGGACTGCTTCGCTGCAGGAAACAACTCCATTGTTCGATTCGGTGAACTGAGGAGCTTGCTTGCCGACTGCCACTCCTTTTCCCGACTTTCTTTGTGCCGATTCAGTCGGACCTATCCCGATCTTCCATACTCCCCCCCCAACCTCGCCGCTCGTTTTTCTCTCCCTTTCCTCTCAAAAACCGCCCTCGTCCCTCGGACCTTCCGTCACCCCCCAGCCGAACGCCTCGGTCTTCGCCATTTGCGCCATATGCGAACCAGGACCGATCCGACCGAATCCTTTTCCTTTTCCTTGCTCCGATTGAGTTCTTGCCGACCTTGTGATTCCGGCGACACAACCTGATCGGGGTTCTCAACCTTCTTAACATCATGTTTGACCGCGTGGATTGCGCGGGTCTCTACATCGACGACCGAGTGCGGTCGGAGAGATGGGTGCGCAGAAATTCAATCGATGAAGTAACGATATCGTCCGCGGGTTCCTTCACAGCCCCCGAAGAACCGGAGGCTCTGCAGGCGGATGTGGAGCGGCTGTTAGGAGTGTGCAACCAAGGTAGGCTCTGCAGACTACGCTGCGTTTGATCATTGACTAATTCCTCCCGTTTTTGCAGTCTACCTCTGCCACAACGGTTCCTCCTTTGCCGCCAAGCTGGCCGAGCTTAGCGACCGGTCGGGCAGCGAGTGTAACCCGATTTTCGCCTTTCTCGAGGTGGACTTTAGCGGCGAAGAGTCGAACCTGGCTCGCCGAAAAGCTAGTCGCGCCTCGTGGACAGACAATGCTCCTCCATCACCGGGCTCTATCCACCGCACTTTCACATTCTCGACCCAGTCCGACGAAGCACGGGGCCTCTCACTTCTATCAGGTGTCTCAAACGATATTCAAGCCCAAGAGGGCCCGAATTTGGTCATCCCTATTGCTATCTTGCGTCTTCCTACTTCCGATGGACCCAGCGACAATGCGGTTACCGGCCCCACCAGTCAACCTTCTCAAGGTCCTATCACGATGGAGCACAAGCAGATTGCCCGCTGTCTTGATGCCGGTGCTGTGGATGTCTTGACCACTCCGCTAGATCGCTCGCGGATTCAAGGGCTTGTGGTTCATGCCTACCGTACCCGTAAAGCGGCCCAGAGAGAGATGTCCCGATTTCTCGCACGGAGAAAGCAACGAAAGCTTTCTTGGGTTGGTGTGCATGATGAGCAGCCGTATTCTTATCTAAGAGAAGCCATGGTTTCAAAGCTCATGAAAGGAATTTGCAACCCAGAAGAAGTCATACATGATGAATTCCAGGAGCAGGATCTCAACATTGACCCTGCGCGTATACCTTTTATCAGAGAGCAGGTAGGCCGTTGGAAATTCTGCGCTCACGAGTTTACCGAGGATGAACTGGTCTTTGGTGCTTGTGAGATGATACAGCATGCTTTCACCATGCCGGGACTGGACACCTGGCGGTTGACCCCCGATGAATTGCAAAATTTCCTTCTCGCCTGCCGCGCCGCCTATAACTCCTTTGTGCTTTACCACAATTTCCGCCATGCGATCGATGTGCTGCAATCCGTCTTTTGCTTCCTGCTACACATTGGTGCCTTGCCTCCATATGCACCTATTGGTCAAGTTTCTGTTGTAGAAACTCCCGTCACCTCCCTTCTCACGCCATTCGACGCCCTCACCCTTCTTATCTCAGCCATTGGTCATGACGTTGGCCACCCAGGTGTCAACAATTTTTTCCTTGTCAAACTCAACGCACCTCTTGCTCAACTCTACAATGACAATTCCGTTTTGGAGGCGTTCCACTGCGCCGCCTTCTCCCAGATTTTGCGTCGGCACTGGCCTGCGGCATTCAAGGACAACCAGCTGCGCAAGCTCCTTATCAGCTCTATCCTGGCCACAGACATGGGTGTGCACCAGAAGTTCATGCAGCGAATGGGCTCATTCCAAGAAAAGTTCTACGAAAACGACCGATCTGTTGACGGCTGGAAGCCGCAAGATGTCGACATGTACAAGACCCTCGTTTGTGGATTATTGATCAAATGTGCCGACATCAGTAACGTGGCTCGACCGTGGAAAGTTGCAAAGAAGTGGACGCAAATCCTGCAAGAGGAATTCGCCAACCAGGGCGAGATGGAAAGGGAGGTTGGAATGGAAACCGCGCTGTTTGGCGGGCCTCCCGAATTAGGGAACATCTACAAACTGGCTACTGGTCAAATTGGATTCATGTCAATATTCGCCCTGCCGCTCTTTGAAGGCATTTCCGACCTTCTGCCGCAGTTGCAGTTCACTACAGACCATATCCGCCGCAACCAGGCACAGTGGCAAGAACTTGCCAATGAGGATCTGAAGAAGCAAGGTCTGCCGATTGAGAAACGGCCCGAGATCACGGTTTCGCCTCGCTCCCATAGCCCTGCAGCTACTGAAAAGCTGCTTCCCGCTCCAGGAGATGGCACAACTGACGAAGTCAAATCTCCCGTGAGTTCAGACTCTGGTGCATACAACGAAAACACCATTCAACCAGTTGTTTCACCAGATACCACAGGTCCTCAGATCGAGATCACAGGGAGTCCCCTTCTGCCGGCGGCTGAAATGTCATCTCGGAAGTCTTCTCATGCCGTGCCCGAGCTTTCTTGTTTCTCCATCCCAGGAATCCCGGAGTCTGCCCGTGGGTCTGTCTCGACACAGCTACATAGCCCTCTCACAGAAGCAGACCCTAGTACTGATGATCCGGCTGTTCTAGCCGCCGTCTTGTATGCAAACTCGGCCTTCGGTGGTGCGACTTCATCAGGATCAGCGGGGCATGACCATGCTTCGGGGGCTGCCGAGAGACCAAGCAGCTCGCGCCAAGGCCTTCCACAAGGCTCTCAACGGGGCTCCCAACGCCACCATGCGCACAACAGCTCGTCTGCTCGCACAGGATCTAACCGCAATAGTTGCACACGGACGCAAAGCACCTACAGCAATACCATGACACCAATATCTCCCGCAACTAATGCTTCGAGCTTTTTGGCTGTGGATAGTGGCGACGAAAAGCGAGTTTCCGGGGAAAGTGCTGCGCAAAGTGATATTGGAGGACCTGACGACAATAGCACACGTCCCAGCACAGCGGACGCGTTTCCTTCAGGTGTCTCAGAGCCTGCAGGCGGCTACAGCCCCGGTCGTAGCTCTATCCTCGGTCGAGGTCAAACTCGGTCCGAAGATGGTGCCAACAAAGACTTCTCCAGGCTGGGTGCCCACGGAACCCGCAGCCCAACGCAGTCGACGACTACCGGCGAGAGCATCAAAAATGAAACCCCGCAAGCGGATGACTCTGCTGTTCCCCGCAGACTTCCTAAGCGGAGGAGTCGGCTTCGACTTGCTTTTTGGAAGCGTCGCAACCATTCGCATGAGGTCCGTGGTGAAACCTGATTTCTACCAGTCTGGTTGGTGTTTTTGGGTTTGAGCCATCACCAGCTGTGTATAACGCTGCCATGGTCTTATGAACATTTCATTTTGCAATGAGGCTTAAAAACCACGCTGGTGTTCCATGAATTCATGACTTGACCAGTCGAAGAAGCCGGACTTTGGATTTTCTTTTCCCACCGCATTGGCTCTCCTGGTCACGACTCTACGAAGTCGAATAACGATACCTTCTTACCTTCTGCTAGACATCTGAGTTCATCTCGGACATGAAAGCAAATGCAAAGCTTGTCTGAGCAATTCCGGCATCAAGACAAGATGAGTTGTATGTTTTACCCTATCCTCTCTCCTCCTTTTGAGGATGAGATTCACGCTTTATCATGCATTCCTCTCAGTGGATATTGGCATCGGTGTCCCGCTACATCTATTCGTCTGATTATTTTCATCGGGATCACCCACCTACTTCTGTCTGATAACCACGAATATCCGTTTTCTTTTATCCTTATCCTACACCTTCATTCATCTCTCTTTTCGTTTTCCTGCCGCCCTTGTCTGGTCTTTCGGGGCGGTTCTCTCTTGTTCTAGAGTTCCAACGGCGTTTTATCTCTTACAGGTGCGGGCTTTCTCTGGCTCGATATTCAAGATTTTCATGACCTTGGATAGTTTTTTCTCTTTCTCCCTGTACTTGATCCTGGTGTCTTTTCTCTCTCCCTCTCTTTCTTTCTTTCTTTACATGGACTCTTTTGTTAGACTCTTCCGCTCTGCGCGATAATGAATGTGATGTGTACAGTGAGGTTTTTATTTCTTGTTCTCAAAACGATTGTAACAGGTGTATTCTCAAAGTAATATGTAATTCTATCATTTATGCCAGCACTATCTAAAAATGAATTTTCTACATAAACCAACTGATGTACATCTGTAGATGTACATACCAACATTGAAGTAAAAACAACACCTACTGACAGTCCTCACAACCAGCCTTATCCTTACCCACCTCTTTCTTCTCCTGCTCACCCTTCTCCTTCTTCAACGCGCGATCCGTATGTCCCAAGTCCCTCTCGGGAGCGATAACATTCCGCACAAGTGACTTGAGCGCTTTGACTTCTGAGGGAGGAAGGATTGGTTAGATGAACAGCTTAAGTAGATAGGTTTCCTATGCCATGCATATAAAAGCAATAGATAGAAAAAATATGTAAAAAAGAGGAAAACATACCAGGGAAACCCCCATCACGCTTCCTATCCCACAGAATAATCTCCTGCGTCGTGACGTTCCCTTCACTATTCAGCGTACCATGCCATATGGTTACTGTGAAAACGCCGCCGGTTTTCGGGACGAGGGCGACTTCGCCGAGGTCTGTGTTGAATGTTGAGAGGAGTTCTTGGGCGAACTGTTGTGCTTGTTAGTATGGTGTTTGTATGGTGAGATTTTTATATTGCAAGGTTATGTTCATGGTCATGTTGACAGTGACTTGATCTGGAGTTTGATACATGTATATATCAAACCCCAAGAAACGAAGTATCAAGAAACCAATCACATGCCAAACTCCCTCTACAACGAAACCGCCTCTAGGTAGGTCAAAGAGAAAGAAAGAGACATACGTATGCGGCGCGGAGCATCCACCGGCACTGTGTGCAGAACTGGATTGAGATGCGGGGGAGATGGAGGTTCGCGGGTTCGACTTTGTCTGTATTATTGGGCGTTGAGTCGATTAACGGTAACGGGGTCGGGGTAGTAGATTCGGCCATGATGGATGTGGCTGGGGTGCGATTGGATGGGTTAGTTGTGTGGCGTGTGGGTGGAGTGCCTGGGCTGACGGTGTATATTGTAGGTGGATGTATTGGGGTATTTCCGCTGAGGATATGTGTTATATTGGGCAAATGTGCAGAGCTTAGTGGGATGGCAGGTCTACGGGAAGATGATGTCAGCGGGGATGAGCTCCAGGGCTCCAGAGCTGACCCAGGTGTATATCACCTGGGCGAGTACTTTGTACTTTCTTATTACATCTTACATAAATATTACGTTCGAATAATATACTATATATCAAAGTAATATTCGGTTAGAATCTACCAATTGCCAATATAGGCAATGCAAAGATGAAACAACCGGCCGAGGGCTGATCCCGACTGCCGGGTCATCCCAGCAAATCGTAAGATGTGATTGCCGGAATTTGGGGCCGAAATTACAAATAGTGCAAATTCGATTAGATCGGTATGGTATTGGTCATGCGAATCTATGATACATGAATGGCTCTCACGCTCTGAAGGAACATAGAGGCTTTTTGAAGATAACCCGTAAGAAAAGGATACATAGGAGAAAGAAAAGAAAAAAAAAGAAAAGGCCGATTCCTAACAAACACATCGAGAAAGGGGAATGGTGCAATCCAGAGAAGAAAAAGTTAAGGCGCAACAAATGCATCGTCAAGTGCACTGTCTGCAGGAGTCCGATGACAAAAAGGGGGGACACGGGGTCGAAAAGGGCGACAAAACACAGCGGGACTCGTATGATCCTCGGAGGCGTGGAAGGTTTCGTGCAAGACCAGCAGACGATTCTTTCCGACATGTTTGTCCGCGCGAGCAATCGCAGTGTTTTGATCGGGCCCAAGGGGGTCGTGAATGGGGTCCGGAATTAAGTAGAAGAAAGAGAGAAAGAGGGAGAGGTCATGGCGAAAATATCCCGTCGTGAATGCATTACATGACGGTGCAGCAACCTCCCTGTTGCTGAGGAGCATAAGGATCCTCGCGCTTGTCGACCTAGGAAATGGGCGAGTTAGTTTTGGGGGGTCGCGCGCGTGTAAGGGAAAAAAAAGGGAGCCGGTCGCATACCTGTCCCCATACAGATGGAACCATATAATCGCGAGTGTTGTTGCAGTAACTGATGAGACTATTAAAGGGTTAGGTGTTTGTTGTTTAACAAAGAAAGGTTGGAACGGACGAGAGAGCTGCTTCGGAGACCTTGACCCGTGGTCGGTCCAGATCCTCCTTTAGACGAGCATTGAGCTCTGTCAAACGACGATATTTCAAGTCGGCGACACTTTGCTTCTTATTCTTGACATCACCTCCTGATCGAAGTTCGTAGGGAGCCATGACTGGTTGAGCTGTGAAAGAAGCGCGAATGGAGAAAGGGGGAGAGGGGGGTTTTGGATCGGCAGGTTACCAAGGGCGTAAGAATTAGGTTAGGGGGCCGGGTAATCAGCCAAGACAAAGAAAAAAATAAAAAGAAGGTGAAGTCGAGTTGTTAATTAGAGAGAGAATGGACAAAGGACTGTTTAGAGGGGATTTCCTGAGAAGAGTTGAGGTCCGTGGGTTTCCCTCTTTTTAATCTTACGTTGGTATATGTTATACTGGATTGGATGTACCCGGTACTTGGCATTGGGGGGGATTACTATTGTTTTTATGTGGAGACAAATATATAACTTGTACCCGGTACTTCCTTAACTAGAAACCATCGGGGTCGGAATGAAATTAGTTGGGATTATAATAGTAAGAATAGAGGATTCAAACCAATAATAAATCATTATCACATTGTAGAATTAAATCTGACACATCTTGGACCTAGCATGTAAAATTCTGCCTTAGGCCACAACACGTGATCTCCATCGCTTAACGCGAAGTGGGAACATTGGCGGGATCCAATTTTTGCTCTGGCCTCAACACGCACATTGTGAATCTTCCCCTCGTTATCGGGTATTCGCGTGGCTAATCGCATTCAACCCAGCTACCCGTGTCGCTGGCCTCATATAACCTGGGAACTTTTTTTTCTTACTTTTAATTTCTTATCAGTCACCTTTGATCTTTTCCCAAGGGGCATCCACCCATCATGCCGCCTCCTCCGCATATCAAGCCTGAGAATGTCCTCAAGGTAAGCGTCGCTGTCGCTGTCGCGAAATATAACATCAGTTACTAATGACACTATCTTGCACAGAGGGCTCAGGAACTCATCGCCGTCGGCCAGGCTCCCGCCGCCTTGACTGTCCTCCACGAACATGTCACCTCCAAGCGCACCCGTAGCAGCCCCATCGCCTCCCTCGAGCCGGTGATGCTCCTGTTCGTTGAGCTGTCCGTCGACCTTCGCAAGGGCAAGGCCGCCAAGGATGGTCTTTACCAGTACAAGAACATCGCCCAGAACACCAATGTCGGCACCATCGAGGTTCGTGTTGATGATCGCCCTTGAAAAAAAAAAAAAAAAATTGTGACTTGGCACTTACGTAGGACCTTTTTTTTTCCATCTACAGATTGTTCTCAAGAAGTTCATCGAGCTCGCCGAGCAAAAGGTCACCGAGGCCCAGGCCAAGGCCGACGAGATCCAGTCGACCCTCGAGTCCGCCGCCCCTTCCTCCAACGTTGAGGATTTGGAGGCCATCGAGACCCCCGAGACTATCCTCCTCGCCACTGTCTCCGGTGAGCAGTCTCGCGACCGTACCGATCGCGCCGTTGTCACCCCTTGGCTCAAGTTCCTGTGGGAGACCTACCGTACCGTCCTCGAGATTCTGAAGAACAATGCTCGTCTCGAGATCATGTACCAGTCGACCGCCCTGCAGGCCTTCAAGTTCTGCCAGAAGTACGCCCGCAAGACCGAGTTCCGTCGCCTGTGTGAGCTCCTGCGCAACCACGTCCAGAATGCCGCCAAGTACTCTTCCCAGATGCACGCCATCAACCTGAGCGATGCCGACACTCTGCAGCGTCACCTCGACACCCGCTTCCAGCAGTTGAACGTTGCCGTTGAGTTGGAGCTGTGGCAGGAGGCTTTCCGCAGCATTGAGGATATCCACACTCTGTTGAACCTCAGCAAGCGCCCCGCCAAGAACATCATGATGGCCAACTACTACGAGAAGCTCGCCCGCATTTTCCTGGTTAGCGAGAACTACCTCTTCCACGCCGCCGCTTACAACCGCTACTACAACCTTCTCCGTCTTTCTTCCGTGGCCCTGGCCAGCGGCCAGAGCTCCAAGAAGGAGAACCCATCGGTCACCGAGACCGAGATGACCAAGGCCGCGTCCTTCGTCCTTCTCTCCGCTCTGTCCATCCCCGTTATCAGCACTTCCCGCTCCCGCGGCGCCCTGGTCGATGTGGATGAGGCTCGCAAGAACAAGAACACCCGTCTCACTAACCTTCTCGGTATGGCCACCTCGCCCACCCGTACTGTGCTCTTCCGCGATGCTCTAAACAAGGGTCTGCTCCGCCGTGTCCGCCCCGAGATCCGCGAGCTGTACAACATCCTGGAGGTTGACTTCCACCCTCTGTCCATCTGCAAGAAGATCACCCCCATCCTGAAGCAGATTGGTGCCGACCCCGAGATGGAGAAGTACGTTGTGCCTTTGCAGCAGGTTATTCTCACTCGTCTGTTCCAGCAGCTGTCCCAGGTTTACGAGTCCGTTGAGCTCAAGTTCGTCTACGAGCTTGCCCAGTTCCCCGCTCCCTTCCAGATCACTCCTGCCATGATTGAGAAGTTCATCATGAACGGTTGCAAGAAGGGTGATCTCGCTATTCGCGTTGATCACATCTCCGGCGTTCTGACTTTCGACTCCGATGTCTTCTCTTCCTCCAAGGCTACCCACGCCGGCAGCGGCGCTGGTTCCGCCGAGAGTGAGGTTGGCTCCGTCCAGCGCCTGCAGCACACTCCCGCCGAGATCGCCCGTTTCCAGGTCGCTCGTCTCGCCAAGACTCTCCACGTCACCTGCATGTACGTTGATCCCTCCTACAACCAGGCCCGTCTTCAGGCCAAGCAGACCGCCCAGGCCCGCGCCATTGCTGGTGTCGCCCAGGAGCACGAGGAGACCCTCGCCCGTCGCGTTCTTATCGACAAGAAGAAGGAAGCCGCCACCGATGCCTTGCAGCGCAAGCAGCGCGAGGAGGAGACTCGCAAGCGTGTCCGTGCCCAGCAGCTCCAGGATGCCGAGAAGCAGCGTCTGGCTGATGAGCAGCGTGACCGTGAGCTCAAGCGCATTAAGGATGAGCAGGACCGCATTCGCCAGGAGGAGCTCAAAAAGCAGCTCGAGGAGCTCAAGACTGGTGTTAAGGGTATTGACGTCAGCGAGATCGACCTTGATGAGCTTGATGCCAACCGCCTGCGCGCCATGAAGCTCGCTCAGCTTGAGAAGGAGAAGAACGAGCTGAACGACCGTATCCGCACCACTGCTAAGCGTATCGACCACTTGGAGCGTGCCTTCCGTCGTGAGGAACTCAAGCACATTGCCGCCGATTACGATGAGCAGAAGAAGGTCGACTTGGAGCTTTACGAGAAGCAGAACGCCGAGGACCTGCGCGAGTCCAAGGAGAAGCACGTCGAGGCCGTTGCCCTTAAGCACCGTCTTGGTCGTCTCGTTCCCCAGTTCAGCAACTTCCGCCGTGAGGTTTCCGAGAAGCGTCACGAGGAGTTCGAGAAGCGTCGCAAGGCCGCCGAGCGCGAGTTCGAGGCTAAGAAGAAGCAGCGTGTCAAGGAGGTCCAGGAACGCCGCCGCCGCGAGAAGCAGGAGCGCGAGGAAGAGGAGGCTCGTCAACAAGAGGAGCAGGAGCGTGCCGAGCGTGAGGAGCAAGAGCGCATCGCCCGCGAGGAGGAGCGCCGTCGTGTCTTGGCCGAGGAGAAGGCTAAGCGCGAGGAAGAGCGATCGTCAGTATTCCCTTACTCTATTTTCACTTCAGACCTCGATACTAACTTACAATACAGCAAAATGGATGAGATGGCTCTCAAGCAGCAACAGCGCGAGGAAGAAGCCGCAGCCCGTCTCGCAGCTCGCAAGGGTGGGTTTGAACAGCCAGCCGAACGAACCGCGCCCCGTCTCAATGTCGCCCCACGTACTGGAGTCCCCTCCACCTGGAGAGAACGTCAAGCCGCCAAGGAAGCTGGTGGTGCCCCCGCCGAGCCCACTCGTGAGATCACTCGTGAGCCCGTCCGTGAGCCCGTCCGCGCTCCCGTCCGCGACGAGCCCGCCCCTCTCCGCAAGGGTGGATACGTTCCTCCTCACCTGCGCAGCGGTGCCCCCGCCAGCGCTGGATCCGCCCCCCCTCCCCCTGCTCCCCGTGAGCCCCGTGAACCCCGCGAGGCTCTGCCCCGTGAGGCCCCAACCGAGCGCTGGGCGCCCCGTCAACCCCGCGAATCTTCTTCTCAGTCTCCTGCTCCCGCTTCGGAATCCAAGCCCGCCGCCGGTGGCAAGTGGGTCCCTAAATGGAAGCAGCAGCAGTAAACGACCGAGCTACGACTTTCCAGTTAAAAAGTGTATCCAAGCTCTTTTCTTTTTGGCGCTATTCTCATGACCCTTTCTGCATATTTCGTGTATCATTCACCCATGTTCACCCCGTAACGTGTTAATGGGGGCCCCTGTTCTGTCTGTTTTCAGCTCGCTCGGAATATGATATAATCTTTTCCTAGTTTTTTTTTTGGTTATATTGGTGTAGAAGTTTTAGATATCTTTATATCCCTCTGGACAATGGCGGAGGTAAGCCGATGCTAAGCTTCGACAACAGCACTGGACCTGCATAGTTTGCATACAAGCATATGCATGTCGAATGCAGGTTACATTTCCGGGTTATCTTTTTAATGAATTTCGAGTTTGAGAATAGAGAAAGAATAAGCCCTACTAATCGAATTGGAATGGATGGTATCAAGATTTCGAGCTTATATGTAACATACATAATGAAAGATGGCCCAGTAAACATCAATATGGATATCTGGCAAACAAATAAAAAACAAGACGTCTAGAGTCCTGACCCGAGGAAACAGAATCGCAAAAATGATCAAAGTCATGCATGAACATCAACATCAAACTTATGCAGCTGCCATTTCGGCATTAGTCCCAAACAGCTTCTCGCGCCATTCTCCACAAACAGCCTCAAAGCCACTGACTACATCGCCGCAGACCTTGCCAGCCTCTCGGTCTTTAATCCGACGGTCCCACTCACCGCGCTCGATCCACCTCGATCCTTCTTCGCGACTCTCTTCCTCCCGCCGGATGTCGGCGACAAGTTCTCGCGCAGAGCGTAATCGGCGGGAAGCTGTTGAAGTCAATTGTCTCGACTCGTAGAGGGTATCGCTTAAGCCGCGAAGTGTATGTGTGATATCTGCTGTTTGCGAGATGAGAGCTTGGAGA